ATGGATGGATGGATGGATGGATGATGGATGTGTGGTGGATGGATATATGGATGGATGGATGGATGGATGGACAGTGATGCTCTTCTCATGTTTAGAAGATGTTGTCCTTTAGAAGATTCATTTAAACTGCATACACACCTTCATTATTCTCTGGGCTGCATGTGCAGCGTTAATGGATCATGTGTTCATAGAAGAATAAATAAGATCCTAGAAGGGACGGTGTGTTTTAAAAAGAGATAATTATGAAGACTTTTAGCACACCCAGCCTGTAACATCTAATTGGATAGCTCTCTTTGTACTGTCTGGTTATATAACCTTGTTCCTTTCAGTCGCTAACATAAAAAAACCTGCAGATGGTCCAACTGTGCAAATGGGTTATCTTTACACTTAGTTCTCACAACACTGGCAGCATTTACCATAACTCTGCAGATATGCATGCATGTCAGCTCACTCCTCTCAGTGAATCAGTGTCTACAGGCTGCTTATCTACTGTCCACAGCATGCTTCAATTAACTCTGTTACATTTTATGAAACTGCAACAAATTCTGCATCAGCTGCATGAGCTTTTCTTGCCCAACAGCTTCTACTGTTCCTATCAGACTTTTAAGGAGGTTGTCTTTCCAAAGTTGCCACCCCAAAGAGCATTTGGGGGCTGAAAAGAAGTTTTGAATATGTTTTTTTTTTTAATGTAAACAGTAAATACCTTGGCTTAGTTATGTATCTTGATGTTTTCTTTGTATTAGGTAAGATTTACTTGGTTTGGAAGTAAATAATGAATGAACCACAGAAGATGCTTTGATGTGAAATTTGTTCTATCTAAGCATTTCTGCTGACCGACTGAGCTGAACTGACCCACATTATCAGCTTTCAGACTGATTTGTGTGCAGTGTATAAGATACAATATCTTATACATGCTTCATAAAGTCCATTTTTAACTATTATATTGCTTTTGGTCCCTTACAGTGTCCCAGAGACACATCGTTGTCAGCGCACATCACCTATTGTTCATGTTTATTCAAGGTTTCACGTTTCTTTGTTTGTCAATCCTACACACCACATGTGGTACATGTGGTGGAACAAAATTGTGTGCACAGATGCCCAGTTACATCCAACAAAAGTATAAAATGTAAAAGAAAAACAGTAATAAGATCTAAGATATGAACAAAAAGAAACGTTAACTAAAAATACACTCAGCACTAGTAGTATAAAAACAATACGCCCAACAGCAGCACGAACATGAGTCTGTGTGAGCAGATGAGCACGAATGAACACAGCAACATGAAACACATCAGCAGCAACATGAAATAGATCAGCAGCAACATGATGCGATTTTTTTCACAGTGATTATCCTGATTAGAGATTCAGGGTAGAAGCTGTTCCTCAATCTAGTGGTTCTACACTTAATGCTCCTCAACCTCCGTCCTGAGGGGAGCAGGGCAAAAAGTGTGTGTGCTGGGTGAGTGGGGTCCTTCATGATGCAGGTTTATAGGTCATAATAAATAAAATTATGCCTTACTTTGACCTTTTCTCTGCCAACAAAATCAAATGAATCATAATCATCGCTTCAATTAACTTTTTGTTTTCAATTATTACATCATTAGTTAATAAAAATGGGTAAAATGAGTATCTACACATTTACTTAGAAAATGTCTTTGTGCTCACAACCGTATTTGTTTTAAACCTAAGTTGTGCATTTTACTTTGTTGTCTGGTTATTGTGTGATGTTTCATTTTATTTCAGAGAGTGGTATTAACCAGAAATAAGATGAAGCTGTTGCCTCTGTTCGACAATTGTTTGTGTAACATTACATCTGCTACATTTCAGAATGTGGTCATTCATGTGCCACAAGCTTGTAGTTGGTACTTTGCATTTTAGGTGTTATACTTTAAATAAATTCTTAAATGTGCCACTTTAACACTTTTTATTTTATTTTTTATTAAATAGTAGCTAAAACCTTTAATTTTGGAACACAATCTAGGACTTATTTTTACGTTTCTCTGTTAAATTGTGCTTCTGCCTCTTTCACCTGAATATTAGCCCATTTTCTCAATTGTGTCTTTTTCCCCACCTGTGGTGTTCTGTATGTGCGCCTGGTTTAGCAGGACCTCAGGCACTGGGAGGATGTGGTGAGCTGCTGTTAGTGTCCGTGTTCAGCACGTGTCCTTTGTACTTGCACTGTCTTGTCTGTTTTAACTTCTACCTGTTGTCTTATGAGTTTTACGACTAATTAGAAGTGTGCTTCAAATACTAAAAATATAATGTATGATTGTGGTGATGTTTCTGCCTCTGTGCTTCAGATCGTCAGCAGTCGTGGACGTCTTTGTTTTCCCTTCAGCTCAGCTCGTCACCTCCAGGTTACGTTATATTCCACTTTTTGTTTCTTTTTGGTCACTGTTCCCAGTGCAAGCAGCAGAAGCAGCATGTTCTGGCTGTAAATGCAATTTAATAACATTAGCACATAAATATGGCTTTTTTTAGCAAAATTATTAAATTTGATGTGTTTGATCATTTAACAAAAAATAACTGCATGTGCAGGATGTCACACACGCGGTCAGAGCAGTTTTTTTACTTAACTCTGTGAAGGAAAGTACAAATCTGCCTGTCAGAGCAGCATGAAGCTGCATTTGTTCTGGTTAACAGCTCAAATTAAGACTTTCCATTTCAAACCAACTACAGCAGTGTCACTTCACACCTTTTTTCACACGTCAAAACCATGAACCTGTTGTATCACACTTCTCTAACTGGTGTGGTTTCAAAACACCGCTTCTCCAGACTGGATAAGCACCTCAGTTTTATGCTGGCTTCATCAACAACTCTGCAAGCAACTCCACATTATTTATATGCTCATTAATTACTTACTTTTTTAATTTCATACAAAGCTGGTGACCAGTTACTGTGGTATGGATGATAAACTTTACATTAAACATTAAGATACACCGCACTTATCAATGACTCCTAGTGTAATGAAAAAAATCATTAATAAATTAAATGAAATTAATTTGAAAAACGGCTAAATGTTGACACGTCAGTCTTTTTTCTTGTGAATATTTGTGCTGTGACTGTCGTTCCGTTACAAGGCCACACAGAGACAAACAAACGTTCACACTCTCACTCACACCTCATTTGATTAACGGTTAACTCAAGATGGATGTTTTTGATCTGGTGGAGGAAAACAGAGTACCAGGAGAAAACCCACATGTGCACAGGGAGAACATGCAAACTCCACACAGAAAGGCTGGGAGGCAAACTTGGGACCTTCTCATTGAGAGGTGATAGCTCTAACCACTGGGCCGCCGTGTCATCCAGCAGGAAAATCTTTCATTTAAAAAAATCACATCATCGACTTAATGTCGATGTGCTAGAGTTGCGATTCATAACCTGAACCCGTGCCAGACCCGAAATTTGGTTTGGATCAGTCCAAAACTATGTGCTTTGAAGGCGGGTCGGGTCTGTCTCGGGCTTTTGATGCAGTTTTACGAATCACACAGCACAAAGAAAACTAAATAAGAATGCACAATATAAAATTCTGTATTTACTTGTAGAGGAGGAAGCAGTAAGTTTAAATGTTGAGGATGAGAAAGAAAGAAAATAGAGTGCAGAAGTTAGTAGCGCTGGCACATTGCGCAACAATTGCGCATGTGGCCCCGCCCACCCTCCTTTTAGCACACATCTGAGGATTTGCAAGTGACCCACAACAAGCGACATAATGGAGCTGAAAAGTGTTAAACAAAAGCTAAAAATGGGAGGACTCACTCTACAAAGCCAGCATGGTGAAACCTGCTGATGTGTGTCAGGTGCATGCTCAGGTCCAACCGGACGGTTGAAACGGGAAAAAAAAACAGTCTTAAGCTTTAGATGGACAACAAGATCATCAGTTGTGCACGTTTGCTGACCGGCCGGTTGGAAGAGGTAAAAAAAAAAAAGGTCCCAATAAGCTTCAGATGGCTCACCGGATCATCGGCCGCATGCGTCTGCTGACCGGCCGGATGGATAGTATGTCCCGCTCCGCACCCTGCTGTCATCTGCGGTGAAGAAAGTTGCAGCATCTGCAACTTAACATACAAAAGCCCAAGTGAGCAGTGCATTCAATTAAAATAGCATTGTTCTATATTGTTCCAAATAATTTTTTCTCTAAAAATATTTTTGTTGATCTGTATAATAACCTATCTTTAGAGTAGATTTTTTTTTAGGCTATTCGTTTTGTATGTTAATATCCATTTGGTGAAACAAGAAATCTTTGTAACTCCCTTTCTTTGAAATACCTTTTTAAAATATCATGTCAAACTGATTTGCTTACAAAAGCAGTAAAAGCTTTATTTATTTATTTATTTTCAGGTTCGGGCATGTAATTACAGTTAATTGGTTGGGTCAAAAAGGACAAAATGCCTACCGGCTCTGGCCAGGTCGAGTCGGATGTTTTAGGCCTGAATACAACTCTATGAGGTGCATGATGTGGTGCCATCTCTAAACTGAAAAGTGAAAGCAGCTGAATGCCCCCCACCTTCTCTGAAACTGTGATGACCATGAAACGTGAATATAAAACAGTGAAAGAAGCACTTGGGAGCAAGACATCAAAGTTCATGCTCATTCATCCAGGTACAAAACCCAATAATAGTCAGTCAGGTCATCTGGACAGTTTTTTTTTTTGTGGAAAGACGTTTCACCCTCTATCCAGAGGGCTTCATCAGTCTGAGGAATCCCAAGTAAACAGTTATCCCCACTAAGCAGTACACTCATTTAGTGTTTGTACAATTTACTTGGGACTCCTCAGACTGATTAAGCCCTCTGGATAGAGGGTGAAACTTCTTTCCATAAAAAAGAAACTGTCCAGATTACCTACATGACCATTACTCGACTTGGGAACAAACTTCACCAGTAGGGAGGGTGGACTGTGACAAAATTAAATAAATAAATACATGGTGAAATAAAGAAGTTTAAAGGTACATTTTTTTTTCATGGGACATTTAATTAATTTATTGTGCATTTCATAATTTAATTGTACATTTAACGATGTTTTGAATAAATAAATGATACATTTAAGTTTTATGTATTTATTTATTTAATTTTGTCACATTCCACCCACCATTCTACACCAAACCCCCCATGTAATTCATTATATTCATACGACTGTGCAATATGATAAAGAGTCAAGGAGGATGAAAGCAACACACAAGTCATTTTCATACAGTTCCCCGCTAGTAAATACATGCTTATAAAAATACTTACATTTTTAATAAATTACCTCTAAAGTCTAAGTGCCGGCTTTTGTGAAACAATGGATAAATTGTGTAACGCTTCAGTTGACCGATTGAGTAAGACTTCTTCAAGCTTTTGTTTCTTATTTTGATAATGAATGAGGTGGGTGTATAATTCATAAATGTTTTTGTTTTTTCTTTCACCCAAGTACAAAAAAGTATTTTAAAAAGCCAGTTTTGGTTAGTGCTTTTGCACTTCAGGAAGAATGCAAAAGCAGTGAACAATGAAAAAGTACCTAGCTGCAAATGCAAAAGAATTAACATAGAAACACTAATTTCAATTTCTTTTTTGGTACTCTACTAATCTCCAATGGGAAATTATATAATTTTTCAGAGGAAAATGAAGCATCATGTGACGACAGAAGTTAGGACCAGTTTCAGCTAACACAAAGGTAGGAATCAAAAGGTAGTGGATGTTTTAAGCCAATGGCTTGAAAGGTTTAGTTGTGTCATAAATTGCAGTTTAAAATCAAATACCATGTACAGTAGTCCCTCGTTTTGTCACGGGGCTTAGGGGACACAGCACGAAGCAGAAATGTACTTCTTGATGAATTACACTGAAACAACTGAACATAGAAGTTCTGAAATAATTAAAAATAACTTTTAACACTTAAATAGTTTGGGATTATGATGGTTTTACGGTGTGACATACTTTGAATTTTAAGTTGGAAGACAACAGGCGATCAGTGCATCTGGACAGCAAACGGTTAACCCTCCACAAATGTGGGCGTGGCAGAGAGGAGATCATGACAGACTGCAGGGGGAGCTTATCGCTCCACCTGTGAGCTGCACACAGGTGCTAAATCATTTAAAATAGTTTATTCTAAATAAAGAATCCCGTTTGTGCGGCTCATCCATCAATCAGCCAAGTGTGTGTCATGTCCACTCTTACTTTGAAGAACCGCAAAAGAGCGAGTCCGCGAAAGTCGAATCTCAACGTAGCGAGGGACTACTGTACATCAAAACTATATAAAAAGGCTCAAGAAAAAAAAAACACATAAAACATTGCTGAGCTTCTTGCAGAGTCACACTATGAGGCAAAAACTGGAGCTAAAATGAGAGGTTTGTAGTCAATAAAAGGCAGCCCCCAGGGAAAAGCACCTCAGAAGAGTAGTGTTGACTCATTGATGATGTGGGACTGTTTTTAATTAAAAAAGACCCTTACAATCTTGATAAGATACATGACGTTGTAGAATCCATCAAATACCTCATTTGACATGCCAGATTGTTTCCTACACAAAACCATCTGGGAAGGTCTTGGGGGAGAATGTCTGGAAATGTAGAGATCAATGAAGCAGCACCAGCAGACCCAATCAGACTATCCAATTCTGCTCTAAACCAACTTGGAGCGAGCAAACTTATCTTTTCAATCAAGAACATTTAACCATCAGTCTTGGCTCTCGTTTAAAGAAGAAACTCCTCCATTTAACGGTGACCTTTTAAACCCACATCTAGATGCCATGCGTCAATAACTGATGGAAAAAAAGATCATGGAAAAATGAACAAAACACAAAAATCTTTACTATGATGGAGTGATTCTCGCATCACTCACAACACTTACAAAATGTATTGGTCTTACACTGTAATAAAATAAAGGTGATACAGATCACATCATTACATAAAAAATATTGGAAAGCTAAAAATGTAGAACTTAATATCCCCATTTTATGAAAGAGGGGAGCAGGTGCAAAAAGCTTAACTTGAAGGAATCAGCTCAGTATCTGTAAAAAAAACCTAAAACTAAGCTATAACAATTTTGTATTGGCTAAGGTTTATCAATAGCAGTGGCCATCTTGAATTGGAATGTTGCCTATTGTTAACCAGTAGCAGATGTATAGTCAGTGTTAAATCTCAATGAGATACTTTGCTAACAGACTACCAGTGCTGTCTCAAACATCCATCCATCCATTATCTTTTACCCACTTCTTCCATTTTGGGGGCGAGGTACACCCTGGACAAGTCACAAGTCCATCACAGGGACACATAGAGATAAACAACCATTCACTCTCTCACTCACACCTAGGTACAATTTAGAGTTACCAATCAGACTGACATGCATGTTTTTGGTCTGTGGGAGGAAACCAGATTACCCGGAGAAAACCCACGCATACACGGAGAGAACATGTAAACTCTACCCAGAAAGGCCCCCGGACCGGGATTTGAACCAGGGACCTGCTTGCTGAGAGGCAGCAGCTCTACCAGTTGCGCCACCGTGCTGCCCTCTGACTCAAACATCCATCCATCCATTATCTTTACCCGTTTATTCCATTTTGAGTCATGGGGGTCGCTGGTGCCCATGTCCAGCAATCACTGTGCGAGGGGCGGGGTACACCCTGGACGGGTCTCCAGTCCATCACAGGGACACACAGAGACAAATGAGACAAACAAACATTCATTCTCTCACTCACACCTAGGGACAATTTAGAGTTACCAATCAGCCTAACATGCATGTTTTTGGACTGTGGGAGGAAACCGGAGTACCCGGAGAAAACCCACACATGCACGGAGAGAACATGCAAACTCCACCCAGAAAGGCCCCTGGACCGGGGTTTGAACCAAGGACCTGCTCGCTGAGAGGCACTGACTCAAACAGTTACTGTCAAAAGTGTAGGCACAATAAGCAGCAGTTGGAGTACGTAATGATAATTCCTCTCCGCTACATGCAGCATAGTATCAATAAATTGACTGAGTCGTTGCTATTCTGCTGTTTTCTCAGTTCACTTGGCTGTGGTGGCCATCTTGAAACAGGTTGACTCCAAAGATTATATATTTTAGATGTGCAGTACATTCATTTGTTACTTTCTGGAAGTTTTCTTTTTGTCCAGACCAAACAGATACACAAAGACACACATGAGGATCGAGGTAGAACAGCATTTTATTCTTCTTTGCCTTTCAGCCATGGGCAATAAAATTGAAAAGGGTTGCCATTGTTAAAATGTTGAAGTAATGTCCCTGCTTGTGTCGTTTAATTAAATGTAAATGAATGTGATTGTGTCAGACTGTGCAGTGAAAAGAAGCCATGCCCTTTTGGATTCCCAGCCCCCCACCCCACTACAGAGGAACAGCAGCTATGCCGAAGACCTCGAGCTGGAGTCGGAGCGAGAGAGTGAACTGGCTTCTGCCAGCTCAGTGTCACAGTGAGTTCACCACTATTGCATTGCGATGCTGTTGCATGAGACATAAACACAGCATTAGTCGCTCTGTTTATGTGTGAGTTCTTTATAAAGAGAAAGTCTGTGTGTATTTTTTGCTATTCCTAATTAAACTTTGCAATATGCCAGCCTCGGAGGGCTCATGATTCCCTATTAGGGAAAATAACTTGTGCTCGCAGAAGCACTTGCACAGACTGAGACTGATATGAGGAAATGAGAGTTAAGTAACTCCACTGTAATGTAAGTGCACAATAAGTGAAACAAATGGAGCGACAGTTCTGACTCGTGGGACTTGCTTTCTAAACGGCGGCGTAATGATGCAGAGTGAGATCTGTGTTGTTGGCAAGACAACTCTGCTCTGCTGGCTCCAAAAATACGAAACCAGCTGTTCTCAAAGAGCAACGCCTCATCAAATCCCATGCTAAATTGAACTATTATGAGATACTTCTTTCTTGTATCTGTAATTATGGAGTACAGAGTAACAAATTCCCATTTTTGAGCTTTTCAATTGTACTCCAAAAAGTTCAGCTTGTGATTAAACCCCCAAAATTGTTGGTATTATATAAAATAATTGAAAAAGACTTTTAATATATTTTAAGAACTTTTATTATATACGATAATTATGTAATTTGTCATATTTCTGCATTTTAAAATCCAAGATGGAAGCACTAATGTGTTTGGCTTGACAGTCGCAGCAAACTTTGGTTGTGTTTGTTTTTCTTTGTTTTTTTTTATCTTTCGCTCACAGTGTCAACTTTTGTCGAGTGTGTAATCGCCAAACGCTTTTAAATTCTCAAACTTGTTTTTATTACTTGGGTCCATTATAGCGATGTGTAGCGGTCAGACCCAAGTGCAAGCAGACAGGAGGAGCAGGAAATTAATGAAAAGGCGTTTATTAAATAAACGAAAACAAAAGGCTGACGAGGCAGCAAAACTGACATAGATCATGGAGCAACCAGGAGCATGACAGACTGAGGGAAGTACGAGGAGGACCGGAACATCTGTAGCATTACAGATCAATGAGCCGACGTTGAGTGGTGGAGAGGAGAGGTTTAAATTAGGCAGAGGAGAGTGAGAAATGAAGTACACCTGGAGTGATTACTAATTGCAAACTGGTGAGAGTGATGAGTGGCTGGAGAGACTGAGGAGAGGGTGAAAAAGGGCAGTGAACATCGAGTCAAACACAAGGATCAAAAAATGGAATAAAGACAAAAGAAACTCAAAGAAAACAGACGAAAGCACAGACTGTCCTCCATTTGTGCAATAACTTATTACTCCTAAGGAGAATTGCAACATCTTCATTTCTGCCACTTCCAGTTCTTTCTCCTGTCTTTTTGTCAATGCCACTGTCTCCAGACCGTACAACATAGCTGGTCCCACCACTAGCTATGTTTACATGGACATAAGTAATCGGATGAAATGGCCATTCGGTATAAAAATGTGCCATGTAAACGCCCCATTCTGATGTTTTTTTTATTGATTTAGCTCGATCCGAAAGAATTGGTCATCAGAATGAGATGGGTGGTTTATACCGATTTATAATCTGACCGGTTCGCATGTAAACACTTACTCTGTTCATTTTTTTCTGATCGTGAAAAACTGACCTGACTGCGCATGTGTGACCTATGTCTACCTCACGTATTTCCGCCTGGCTAATGCTAATAATATTAGCATGTCGGGGAAGAAAAATTGGTCGGTGAGCGACAATATTTCTACTAGAAACGATGAAAGAGCTCAAAATGATCTCTTATTACCTGTAGCTCAGTCAGGGAGTGCAGTAACTTTTCTACCGTCATTAAAGCCTGTCGCGGGTCCATTTTGGGCACTCAGGTTTGTTTACGTTCATCCCGGATATAAACCGGAAGTAGAACTTCTTCTTCTGTGGTGTTTTTAAGGAGCGTTTACCACTCTGCACATGCCAGTACTTCTGTTCAGAATAAAAGCCCGCTGCATGTAGACGCTCGTCATGAACAGATGGTGCCCATGTAAACAATACATTTTAATTATTTAATCTGAAAACATTTCAATCCAATCAAAAAATGTTGTGCATGTAAACATAGCTATTTATATCTTGTAAACTATTCCTTTGACCTTTGCTGACACCCTTTTGCCACAAATCACTCCTGAAACTTTTCTCCATCCACTCCATCCTGCTTTCACCTCTTTACCACACTCTACATTTTCCTGGACAGTGGACCCCAAGTACTTGAAGTCCTGCACCTTTGCGACCTCTGCTCCTTGTAGCCTCACTGTTCCACCAGCCTCCCTCTCATTCACACACATGTACTCCGTCTTACTACGGCTGACTTTCATTCCTCTTCTTTAAAGTGCATATCTACACCTCTCCAAGTTCTCTTCCACCTGTTCCCTGTTCTCACCACAGACCACAACGTCATAGGCAAACAGATTTTTTTAAATCCTTTAGTGTGTACTGATAGGGGATTTTTTTTTCAAATATAGGAAAGTAAAGTAAAGTGCTATGTGTTGCCATCATTGTATGTTTCCATACAATGGCGAAATTAGTTCTCTACATTTCACCCATCACACGTGTGATACACCCAGGTCGAGCAGTGGGCAGCTATGTAAGCGCCCAGACAGAATTGGGGATTAGGTGTCTTGCTCAGAAACACCACAATATGTGGGCATGGCTGGGAGTCCAACTGCAAATTTCTGGTCCCAGGTTGGCTGCCCTTCCTCTACCCCATCTCTCCCAAATATTATGGCCACAAAAGAAATATTTTGTCAAATAAAAATGATAAAATAAAATTTAAATGCAGACTTTTTATTTTTTTTACTAAAGACACTTATTGAGTTAAAATAAAATAAAAAAAGAAAGATTGAGAAAGGAAGTTGTTTACTTGAAACAGGAATCAAACAGTGGAGGTGGTCTCAAATTTTAGCTTTCTAAAACTTACATTGCAGAATTAAATCTGATTCCCAGTCAGTTTCACTTTAATTCACAACTTCATACATGTGATCACAACATCCCTTGTGAGCCAGGGAAAGAAAAATGCTAATGGCTCTTCATGGTGTGTAGTTTAATCTGCATGTGAATCTCGGTACATAGCTGAGTTTTTCATACCAAAGTTCATGCTCAATAATCCAGGTAAAAATCCAACAATGCTCAGTCAGGTCATCTGGACAGTTTCTTTTTTCCCCCCAGATGAAACGTCTCAACAAACAAAGAAACCGTCCAGATGGCCTGACAGAACATTGTTGAGTTTTCCATAGTTTTACAAGCTCGGAACTCCAAACTCACCGGTTTTAAACAGATAAAGCTACACAGCTTGGAAGCAAAATGTCTTGAGCTACGTTAGTGCAGTTGTTTAATTTTTGTATATTTTGGACCTAATTTGAGATCAATATTGTTTCCTCTTTACCTTAATATTCTGTTATTCCCATAGTTTCAGTTTCCTCTGAAATTGTGGGTTTACAGTTTTCTCTCACAGACTAAAACATGCATGAGGTTTATTTGTAACTTAAAATTATTCATCGGTGTGAGTGCAAATATGGTTGTTTGTATTGTCTGTTTCTGTGTGGCCTTGTGATGGGCTGGTGACCTGTCCAGGGTGTACCCTGCATCTCTCACAGTGATTGCAGGAAAGAGGCACCAGTTCCCTGTGACCCATACGGGAAAAAGCAGATAAGAAAATGGATGGCTGGTTAGATGGATGGATGGACATAGGCTTTTAGAATGTTGAAATTGAAGCCTTTTTCTGACCATGTAGGACTGCTACCCACTCAAAATCAACTGTACTCCCACAAAATTAAGCCACCCTTACAAGTCATTGAAAAAATATATTTTTAAGAAATGCATTTTATGTTATTGGCTTTGTGTACCTTCACCCAATTTGATCAAATATATAGGGGCGCCACCACTGTTAAATCCTGAAAGTTAACTATAGCTTCATGTGTCTTTTTAGTTAAAACTCAATGGTTGACAGCAATGCAATATGTATTCTTTTATAACATTTGGATTTTAAGACCCATGTTTTAATGCATGAAAAGTAGACTAATACAACTGGTAACTGTTCTGCAAATAATAAAAATGACCATGTTGGATTCTGGAGGGAAAAGTGTATTTTGTTGTATTCAAGTAATTTGTTGTATGTCACTGTTTAAAGTTCTGTTAAATAGCTTAATCTGCAAATTATCCTGTACATAAATGCACATTTCCCACATTATATATATATATATATATATAACATTTACAGGTAAGTAACCAGTTGTATTTGACTACAAC